TAATCTCCTGAACTGTACTGGATTATAATATAAAGAATTCAGAAATAAACAGCAACAGAAACTATGTAAATATATATAATCTAATAATATACTCATGAAAAGTAAATGTGTCACAGAAGAAAGTAGGGGAAAATTAAAATGTTCCTAGCCTCAAACAACAATGAACGCATGACCTAAGAAAACCTACGGCATACAAGAGAGCAGTTTTAAGAGAGAAGTCTATGGCTGTGAATATCCACATGACAAAAATAGAATGAGTCCACATAAGCTAATAATACATTTTAAGGACCTAGAAAAACAAGCGCAATCAAAATCTAAACTGCTACAAAGAAGGAATTTGAAAAGATTAGAGCAGAAATTAATGAAACTGAGACTAGTAAAAAAACAATACAACATGAGGCATTTTTAGGTAAATGGATGCACCTAGAGACTGTAAACCTAAGTGAGATAAATCAGACACACAAGTTTAAATTTCATACTATTTCTCTTGTGTAAGAAACGAAGAATATAAATAAGAAGACAGATATTAGGAAGTAGGAAGAACTTTTTCAAATGGGAAGGGGAACAGAAAATGGAGGAGGACAGAAGGACAGCAAAGGGGATATAAAGGACAAAAGAGTTGAAGGAAAAAATGGAAATAGAGCTTTTGCACATAGGGAGAGGAAGAAGAGTTAAAAGGAGGGGAGGGGACAGGGGCAAAACATGAATTAAGATGTGTTATATACAGATACAAATTCCTCAGTGAATGTGATCATTATGTACTGTAAACATGTACTAAAAATAAATAAGTAAATTCTAAAAATACAAAGGATCAACAAATCAAAGAGCTGATTCTTTGAAATGATAAGCAAAATTGATAAAACTTTAGTCATACCAAAAAAAAGGGGAAAATACTTATCAATGCGACCATAAAAGAAAAAAGGCAAAATCGCAGAATACTACCAAAATACAGAGGAATACAAGAAGCTACTTAGAAAAATTAATTTCCATAAATTCAAGACTCTAGAAGAAGGCTAAATTCTTAAAAACATTAGTTACCAAAAAGAGAACAAAGACATAAAAACTCTAAATAGACTAATCACAGAAAATGAAATTGAGGAAGAAATGAAAGAAATCCAACCAACTAAGAAGGGCTCAGAAACCAATGGATTCACATGTGAAATTTACCAGAACTTCATGGAAGAATTAATGCCAATATTCCACAAATTGCTCTGTGGAATTAAAAGAGAAGGGACACTGCAAAATTTATTCCTTCAAGCTAGTACTTCCCTGATATGAAAAGCAAACAAGGACTCAAAAAGGCCACCAATAACAAATGTTTGCAGGACTGTAGGGAAAAAGGAGCTCATCTCCACTGTTGGTGGGAGTGTAGACTGGTGAAATCAATATGGAAATCAATATGGAGATACCTCAAAAAACTAAGACTAGAGATTCCATTTGACCCAGCTGTTCCCCTTCTTGGTATCTTCCCGATAGAATTAAAAGCATCACACCACAGCAATATATGCACACCCATGTTTATAGCAGCAGAATGTATAATAGCTAAATCTTGCAAACAGCCTCAATGCCCATCAACCAATGAATGGATAAGGAAAATGTGGGTTTTTTATACAATGAAGTACTACTCTGCCATAAAGAAGGACAAACGAGACATTTCTAGGTAAATGTATGCACCTTGAGACCATACTCTTAAGTGAAATAAATTGGGCACAAATGTTCAAATATTTCATGGTTTCTCTGGTTGGATTTTTAAAAAATGGAGGGATTAGAGGGAGGCCAAGTGACTGGGGAAAAAAATAATAACCAAGATAGATTACATAAAGGTACAAATTTCCAGGACATTTGAGAAATAGGTAGGGGCAAGGATAGGTTGAGAAAGGGGAGGAAAGTGATCAAGATGTGATATGTATACATAAAAATTCTCATGATAAAGGAAATTATTATGTATAGAAAACATGCACTATTAAACTTTTCCCATCACCTTTTCTGGGAGGCCAAGACAAGAACCCAAGTATCATAAATAATCTGAGACATGTTAATTCATGTGCACAGTGGATGACAAATAAATGTGTAATTCAGTGGGGTGGAAACCAGGAATTTCAATTCAGCCAATTCATCAACCTACTGACCCGGTTGTAAACATGGTAAGAGACATATCAGGATTGATAATTATCCAGAATACCTCCGTTTTGACCCAGGTCCCTAATGTGTTTGGTTGGTCAATCAAAACACAAATCAACTTCATATAGTGGCTCAGGTCTGTAATCCCAGCACTCTGGGAGACTGAGACAGAAAGATCACAAGTTCAAAATAGCCTGGAAAATTAGTGATACTCTAAAATATACAATAAAATATAAAAAGGTCTGGGTATTTAGCTCAGTAAAGAAGCTTTGGGTCCAAAGCCCCATACTGAAAAAGAATCCAAATTCTCTAGTTAACAAACAAATAAGTTTTCCTCTGAGTATTTTCCTTTTTCACTGAATACAGAGATTCTGGATTCCATTGTCTAGGACAGTTCTCAGAGAAGAGTTAATGAAAATGAAGACACTTGGCCCATAGTCCAGTTAGAAAGCACCTAGCTTTTACACTGAGCACTCTTCTGCTATAGTAATTATAAGAACAAATCCAAAAGAAACTTTTTGCAATTTTAAGAAGCACATTGGCCAAGTGACTCTCAGAAAAAGAGGAGCAAAAGTAGTTTGTACCTGTACTTCAAACACTGGCAAAACAATACAAGGTCACTGAACAAAAGATTCTTGTTCAGGAAAACCAGATGCCTAAAATTATATTTATTTTGAAAATCCTAAGGTTCTCCATCAATCATATGTTCATATATGTGCAAAAAATGCAACAGTAATGTGCAATTTAGAAATGTTATAGGAAGATCCAGACATGAAATCCAAGGTGATCAAAAATTCCTAATACAATGATATAAGATACATTCTCTTGTATACGTCTGGTCAACACTGAAGTGATTCTCATGGAATCAAAAGAAATATCAGAATCAGAGTTTAGCCTGAGAAGTTAATATTGGTCACTGTCACATATTTACTTTAGAATACTCCCATTATAATGCAACCTGTACTGTATAACATAGATCCCATTTGTAATAAACACTCAGAAAATCCAGCTATAGTCCACTGATATTGTTTTCCTAGAGAAATGTGATAAAAAATTAAAACAGATGTTTTTCTAGTCAGACATAAAGTGAGAAACAATTATGACTATCTATTTTCCTGAAGTCATTTCATTTCAGAAAGCCTCCAAAATCCTCTGATATGAAAAAATCATTTCTTTGAGACACACAGCTGTTAAATAATACATATCAGTCTCCACCTTGTGACACACTGCTAATCCTCTGAGGATTAAAGTGCCTCTGTTTCAGTTATATAAATGTTTAATTTTTTTTCACCCTTAGTCATAGTTAGTTTTCCAAGAAAGTATATTATCTCTGTAGATGTCACCATTCACCAATAAGGAAAAACAGCAGTGCACAATTGGTAGTGACCTCTGTATATTATAGACTTTGACACTTGAGTCTTTTGAGGAGAGAATGGATTAGACAATTTAATAGACCAGGGTGACTCATATTTTTTCTATGGAAAACATTTTGCTTTGTGAGTCATGAATTTTTGATTCATATACAAAACCCAAACAAAACTACTTCATGATATTTACAGTGAAATAAAACAGCTGAATACCAGGAAATAATCACCATATTTTGTTTTCACATCTTTAAGACTTTTAACAGTACAACTTCCAGCTGAGCTTGAGTCTAGCTTCTCTCAAGACACAGGCAAGCATTCTGAAGCATCACTGAGCCTACAAACGAAGCTGAACTCTTGCTTCTTAATTGAAAAGGACAGGCAGTTGGCATTACATGTTTACATTAGTAAAATATTGAAAGTGACAAACACAAGTCCATCTGAACATTCTGCCTTACCTGAATTCTACTTATGCATTTGTACTCTGATTTATGCCTAGAACACTTTTAAATAGTGCCTCTTGCTGAAATACTGTGGCCAAATTCACAAAAATACTTGCCTTCATACATGAGGATGCCACTTTTGATATGTGCTTTGAGATGTTCACATTAGCTGGATGTTTTACATTAATTTAGCCACATCCACGTTGTGAAATGGGAAGAAAAAGGCTAAAGATGTAGGGAAAGTGGTTAGGGTAGGGGAAAGGTAATAAGGGAAAAGGAAAAAAAATATGAGAAAATGAAAAAATGGAAATAAAGAGTTTATAAATGGGGAGGGGAGGAGGGGGTGAAGGGAGGGCAGGGACAAGGGGAAAAAATGAGAACCAAGAACTGTCATGTAAAGGTACAAGATCCCCTTGATGACTGTAACTGTATTGTATACCTAAAATGTACCAATAAACTCAATGAAGAAAAAAAAATTTAGCCACATCCAATTGCTCTGAGTTCCCATATGACCAACAGCATGGATTTGTGTGGTAGCTAGAGGGATTCGGCATAGCAGCCCTATAGATATAATGGGAAGTCTGGTACTTTATATCTTCTATAAAGAATACACAATCTGTGATCACAGAACAAATTCTCTGGGCAAAGCTAACCAGCCGGATGAAAAATAAAACCTTTCCCTGTGGTCTCTTTAGAGCTGTGTTCCATGTAACTCAAATGATCAGATGAATTCACTAAAGCAAAAAGTGGCATTTATTCCTGGTGATAAATCATCCACTCATTTCCTGTGTGTCCAGTGCAGTTATTATTAAAGAGAATGTATGCAATATGTATATGTAGTCACCTTGTAAAATGGCCAAACTTAATACAACCCTAAAGGATCCAAGTGGGGTGGAAGAAAAATCTGGCTGAAAAGAATCTGGTATCTGAAAAACCTGTAGATGTTGCTGAGGTGTGAACACAGTGGGCACCTCCATAATATACTCATGATAGTAAAGTAGTACAGTGTGCCTGCAAACTTTCTGGGATATATGGAGACTACTGTTGCAACTTACAATGAACCACCCCTTACCGTGATCAGGCATCTGAGATCCCATGGAGGTCACACTGGCATTCAGCACATCGTTGACAGCAGTATCACAATACAAGCTCCTATGGACATCATGTTCACTGTCAGTCTGGTCGCTCTCCTCATGCCCACTATCCTTCAGGCTGTTTCCCTCTAGGTCTTTGAAGGTGGAGCTGCTGGGTTGGAGAAAGAATGTTACTTCACAATCATAGTAGATCTCATTTTTAAAACATTGTTGGTGGAAATGTAAACTAGTACAACCATTACAGAATTTGTTGTGGAGATTTAGCAGAAAACTAAAATTAGAAATTCCATTTGACCCAGCTATTCCACTTCTAGGTATTTTCCTCAAAAAGCTAAAGATATTACAGCAATACATGTATGCCACCATTTATAGAAGCACAATTTATAATAGCTAGATCCTGGAAGCAAAATATATATCCATCAACAGATGAGCGAATAAAGAAAATATGCATAATAAAATACTACTTGGCTATAAAGAATGGTAAAGTCAAGAAATTTGTAGGGAAATAGGTACACCTGAAAAATATAATATCAAATAAAATAAATACCATATGATATCTCTCATTTAAGTAAAGCAAAATGTAAATATTGAGCAAACTAAAGGACTGATAGAAGGAAATGGTGATACATCATTTGCAAATGGGAAGTCCAAGAGACTAAGGGTGAGGAAAGGAAAGAAAAGTAAAGAGTTAAGATGTGTCAAATACACCTATCAAATACCCACAGTGAAATAAACATTGTATAACATAAACATGAAGTAATAGCAACAACAAGAATAATAATGATAATAATGAATCTCTGGATTCAGAAAAAAATTAAGTATACCTGAGCATCTACTTTGCTAAAACTAAAATTGCTCAATAGGTCAGCTATCTAAGCTCCTCCAAAATATGTCACACAGCTAACTCAGCCCTATGAATCCAATAGAATGCAGTTCTGTTATAAAAGTTCATCCGCTAGTTCCTTCATGGTCGGGAAGACCAACTGGACAAACATGATTTATACTGCTTCACAATGTCAAGCCTTATGTATAAATTCAGGGCCTTTTTGTAGACAATAAGCCCACAGTTTAAACAGACTCAATATTTTAGAAAAATGCGGTCTAAAATATATAATAGATAATGTGAAACAGGAAGAAAAGGTTCAAAGGGGAAGGGAAAGTAGAGGGGAGAAAAGTAGGGAAACAAAAAAATAAAAAAGTTGGAAAAAAATGGAAACAAAGCTTTTGTAAATGAGGAGGAGTGGAGGGGTGGAAGGGAGAGAAAGGGAATGGGAAAGAAAAAAGAACCAAGATATATCATGTACAGGTACAAAGTCCCAATGATGAATGTCATCATAATGTATACCCAAAATGTACCAATAAAATTATGGGATTAAAAAATGTGGTCTGCCTATAAGCACTCATATATCTCAGAAGAAATGACCTGAGAAATGACCTAAATGAATGCTATCTGTGGTGGTTAACTAATTGTAAGTGTGAGATGGGAACACCCAGCTGAATCAAGTCAGCATGGTTCTGGGCTTGGAAGACCAATTTTAAGGAGGCTTGTTGTCAGAAAAGTGTAAAAGGAGAATAGGAGGGAAGGATTTCAGCTGATTTTCCTTGGAAGAGCTTCCTTGTGGCTGTTTGTCGTCAAAGGAGCTTCGGCTGATTGCTTTCTTCAGGGGAACTTCAATCTCCTTCATCTTGGAGGACGTCTCCTGGCCTCCAGTGCAGATCCCTTGGCCTCTGGGCTCAGATCCTTCAGCCATTTGGCACAGACACTTCAGCCTCCAGCATGGGACCTTAAGCCTTTCAGGTGCAGATCTTTTGGTCTTCCATCACAGATCCTTCGGCCTGATATATGGACTTGCACGGCACAAGCCCTCGGACTGGATCTTTCAGGCTTCTAGCACACAGACAGACATCTTGCACTCTTCTACATCTGACTCTACTAGTGGCACAGGCTACTCCAGTTTTATAACAAATAGTAACTTTTCAACCTGTATTATCTGGCATCTGAAACAAAATTAAAAGTTCTCTAATCTCAACACAAAATTGTCATCTTAAACTGGAAAATTCAACTCTGAACGGACTGCATTTTACCAGTTGCCAAAACTTGCTTGAGATGAATAAAGTGAGGGATGTAGTCCATGGGCAATTAACCATGGGTAATTAACCATTCCCTTAGAACACTACTTCTAAACCTTGACATTACTGTCATTTTTGGCCACGCAATTGTGGTTTGCCTGTGCATGGTGAGGTGTTTAGCAGTATCCTTGTCCTTTACCCACTAGATAATAACAATGACCCCTCACTTAAAAGTAACAACCAATTGTCTCCAGAAAGATATTGCCAGATACCCCCTGGTTGAGAACAACTGCTTTAGACTCTTTAACTTCAGTTACTATGGCACTGTACTAGAAAAAGTACTGAATTTGGAGTCATTAGAACAAGTGATAATCCATATTCAGCCACTTTATCTATATGACTTTGAGATTTATTCTAATGTCTCTGAATTTGTTTCATTACCTGTAAAGTGCATTTCCTCAAATCTACTTCACAAAGGGATTCAGTGAGATACCGTACATGAATAGAATACATAAATGCTCAATAAATGATTATTATTTGATATGATAATTAATCTGTATGGTCAGACCTTTATTGAATTACAATTAAATATTATAGTCTTTTGTAGACTTAGGAGAAAAAAAATGTGTGTTTCTATGTCTTCTATAAACAGCAATCACACATTGTCCATTGCAGTATTTCTCCAAAAATTCAAAAACAGAAAAAAGTTCTCCTGTCAAATGTATATCTTCCTTTATTGAATAATGAGAACTATATGACATGACAAATGTATCTTTTTGTCTTTGCTTCCCAAAAGTGACATGGAAAACATGTTTAATTGCAGAGAGTCACCTCCTTGTATGTCAAGGATCTCTATCTTGCTTCTCCTAATTAGTTTTAGATTTGCCATTAAAAATACTACTCAGCCATAAAAAATGAGAAATTAGAGACATTTGTAGTTAAATGTATGTACACTGAGGCCATACTCTTAAATGCAATAAATAGGATACACGTGTAAATATTGAACAGTTTCTCTAATGTGAGAAAGTGAAAGTGTAAATAGTGTAAAAAGGTATAATAGGTAATGTGAAATAGGAAGAAAAGGGACAGGGCTGGGGAGTTAGCTCAATGGTTCTGCCACCTGCCTCGCAAAAGCAAGGCCCCAGGTTTGATCCTCAGCACCAAAAAAAAGAGGGGGATAGGAGGGGTAGCAGGAAGGCAATAAGGGGATGGAATTAATGTGAGAAAATGAAAAATAATGAAAACAAAGTCCTTGTAGTGAGGGAGGGAGAGAAAATGTCATATTGTATACACTAAATGTACCAATGAAATTAATTAATTTTTCAAAATTTACTCATGCATTGTATACACATCTGAATGGTATCATCTACATGTAAAGTTTTGTAAGGATTTTTTTTTGTAGAAAGGATAGAAATAATGAACCCATGAAAATTTGTGTATTCTCAAAAGAAAAAGCAAAAAGTATAATACTACGCCATCAACGTTGGAATAGTTAATTCATTTAAAGATCAGTTTGCCTGTATGACAAACTACCACTTATTCTGATCTTGTAAGGACATGTAGTGGCTTAATGAATAGATTTATGCAAAGCAGTTTAAGAACCAGTGAGGAAGATGCTACAAATTGTAAAACAGCCTGGTAAATGGCTACTTGCCCAAAACAAATAACAATTTATGCCAGGCATAAAAAATACTGATTACGCTTGCTTTTTAACCTGTGTACCTCTTGATAGATGAAAAACTTGTAAAACAGCTTTTGTGAGACAATAAATTAGGAGTACCTGTTTACAATGGTATTGTAAATGCAAATATTTCTATTACAGTGGAAGGGCAATTTCATTTGAAAACACCTAGAACAGGGCTCAACACATAAGTTATTCAGCAAATGATTGATAAATGAACACTATATAAATTCTAGCCTATTTTTATCCTTTAATACATTAGAACTATTTTCTGAATGACAGAATGATCTGAAAGAAAAGAGGTCACATCTCTCTAGTAGGTGACACCACACACCTAGGGAATGTCAACTTCGACTGAGAATATTAAGGGATAAGAGTCAAAAGAGTATTGTAACCATATTTAAGAAACCCCAGGAATATGGTAGAGAGGCTTCTGTACCACATGTATCACAATCACTTTGGGAATCTGTTAGAACTGCAGGTTATGTAGGGAATGGAGCTACAGACTTCATTTAACCAGTCCCTCAGATGACAACAGTGCACATTAAAGTTCAGAAATCGCTAAATTTAAAGAGAAGCTTAATGTTAGTTTTGATGGAAAAATGCTGGGGTTTCCTTGAACATCTTTCTTTTTCTCATTCAAAAAACAAACACCAAGACTTATATTATACAAAGCACCACACCAGAAACCCCAGGACAAATTTGGTGATAAAAGAAAGAAATGTGTATGGCTTAGGAGCCAAAATTCCTTTTCCTTTCCACACTGCTTCAGTGGGTTGTTCATGTCCTATTTTACATTCTTTGAGCCACACCCTCAAGCCCTGCTTGATATTTCTTCAAAAGTATGGCAGAAGTGAATAGAAACCAGCAAAGAAGGTAGGCATTAAGAAAAGAGGGTTGATGCAACAGGAGAAAACTACCACTGCTGGATTTCCTTGGTCTGAGAAGAAAGTAAGGAAATGATCATAAGTAGGAAATCAATCCATTCAGAGAAAAAATCCGAACTGCCTTAGCTTGTTAACTTGGGATGCTCTGCTAAGCCTCTTTTGGATTCCTCCAACTTATAAGGAACATTCTGGAAAAAGAAATAAAGAGGCATAATGCTAGATTCCTCAGTGCACAAAAATATGAAGAACATGCCATATCCCTTCCTTTTCTTTTTCAGATCCACTCTTCACCTTCCTGAACCATGATTTATACCTATGAAAATCCCTTAACTCTGACTTCCCATTGGGATTAGCCCATGGAAAGCAGAGCAAGTTATCACAAGATGAAAGGAGACACATGCTAACTAAAGATATATCTATAGTAATTACAGAGTTTTCTACTCTAACTGATCTTCAACCTTTGCACACACAAAACAAATAGAAACATGAGAAAATAAGGCAACAAGATGATTC